ATTAGAATACATAAATTTATTACATGTAATACTGATTGTAAGATGCATGCTTGTCGCCCATGAGTAAGGACATCTCTGGTTTTTGCTATTTACGCGTGGACTACTCTGTTTTTTTCCTTGTACGGCAAAATAACCAAGCTGTCATATCTCTGGGACTAAGCGTACTATTGTTTTCTTTTTTTCTCGAATGGCGTTAACATTTGTCTATAAAGTTGTATCGCTATCTTAATTTCTATGAAAATCTGACATATCTGTTTTTCCCGTGTAGTCTTCATTTGTCCACTACATTTATTGCTGTGTGAACGATTTAGGTATGGCGCCAATATTGAAGTTATTAATGTAAATTTGATATTATATAAACTATTATTGTTTTAACGTTTTAAATTATCCGCAATTAACTCGAAAAACAGTACGATCCGGAAATAAACGGGACATACTATAACAGTACAATTATTTGCACAGTCGGTTTTTACGCCTCGGCAAGTATAGCCAAGGCTGGCCAAGTCTACACTTGGCAAGTGTATGAATAATTGTGATCCTTTGACTCGGGCTATGTTTACTGACAGAGAGTGGGAACGCGACGAGTGACCAAGGAAACTGTTCTCACGACATGCGACATGGCAAGTATATACCAATATCAAATGTTTGTCAAGTACACGAGTCGTGAGAATGCGCCTTAGAGCGCTTGCACACACACCGGCAAAATCGGTGTATGAGTTGGCGCCGGCGCCGGCGCGGCGTTGCACACGTTCCAACAGTTGTATTTAATTCTATTGTATTTGCCTGTCCACGACTATTTTACCGGGTCGGAGTATATGTGAAGGAGCTAATTTATTTGTATCACAATCGAATTCAGCATCGACACCGGAACCGATTTTGCCGGTGTGTGTGTGAAAGCGCTCTTAACGCAATTACTCTGTCTGGCTCTTAAGCAATTACTCTATCTGGGAAAAATAAAAAGTAAAGTTTTTCAGACAGTCAAGAAAAAACTAAAGCTTATAAAAAATTGGAATTTTAAAAAGCCAAGCCTCAATTTATTAATATCTCACCTAAACAATGACCATTTTTACCCTTTTTATTCAACAAAATATAGACGGAAAATCCGATTTTATTCAACAATAAAACGATTAGCGAACAAAATAAGAACAAAGCCCGACCAATCGTCGATTGATTTTCGTTAGCGTTCGGTGACAAATTGGCATTTGACGAGGACGGGCGCTACGGAAATTTAACTATTCTGGTTTTGACGTATTATATCGCTCATCCAGTAATAAAATCACGAACGTGTAAAGGCTATAGGCCGATCCGTTATCGGCCATCGCCGCTGACGAATATGACGTGACTGTGTTTCTGTCAAGTCGTCTGTAGAATTAATCGAAACCTTTACAAGAAACATGATTGAAATTCCGGAGAACAATGAAAAGCGATTACATCTATAATTATCGTTGCTTAATATTAAATTTGAATAAAGTACTATTCTGGAACGGACGGATAATGCCATAGATATCGACGTATAAAGAGATGCAACAAGTTAGTTTCAGAAAGAAAGAAAGTGAATTTCAACATAACGTTTAAATGATTTAAATCTTAAATCTTTGACTTAAGTCATTTCTATTCAAGTCGTGCCATTTTCGTAAAGTCTTTAATTAATATGATGTAATTTAAGTAATTTTTATGACTTATGTTTATATATTTTATTTAAATCATGATAATCTGCGAGTTAAGACGGCAAAATGACAGCACGGCGCCGAATATGTCGATGGTTGGCAACAATGAATTTAAAAATCCTCGATTACGTAACTAAAAGTTAAATAAATAGTGTTGTGATACTTTAAGCTTAAATATGTTTACTAGCAGACCTTGCAGTCGAACATTGTTCTTTTTAGAACCTATTTTAGTGCGAAGTGTACAAGATACATTAATAACCGTAAAAAAACTCATCGCAACCTTATTCGAACATTTTGAACGGGAAAGCTGTAGTAATGTGTGCTTTATATCTCTTAAGTGCTGTTAAGGAGGTGAATTTTGTTGATGTAAATATAGTCTGTCCAGCGACAAGATCCTTGAGAATGATAGATGTGCCTGTCATTTTATTTTCAAAGTAGTTTATTTTATTTTACAAAGAAATAACTTGGTACAATTGGAACGCATAGCAGAAAATTGATATATTTAAAATATGAGTGACCAGTGCTTACTTCAAAATATTCTTAAAAAAATTGTATAAAATTGAAAAAATCTAATCGAGTTATTTTATTAAAAACAATTACATGTGTTAATACAAAACAAGCAAAGGCGTATTTAAAAAAACACCACATACTAAAAAAATATATAAAAAACATTTCCTGCTTTCAAGCCGTATTTCATGCTCAAGCAATTTCCTGCATTTATTGCTAGATTTATCAATATAACTTAAGTAAAAAAAATAATGTTGCAAAGGAATAAATAAAACAACATAGGTAGGTAAATAAAACAAACTATTTTATTAATAATAACACCTACCAAATTTTATACCTTAAAGGTTGATTAATTAACTTTAATCTTAATTTTTTTAAACCAGTACCTTTTGACATTATTTTTCTGCAGTACTAAATTCATTATTTACTTATTGTGTGCTGCTATTTTACAGATACTCCATTTTTTGGTAACATATACGAGATGATATACAAACTTTATTTATGGTTAATACAACCCTCTTGCCATAATCTCTGGTAAACTGTCTCTAGCGGTCTCTTAGCATCGAATATTAACTGTCAATATAGTCTGGATCAACACTTAATTTTCCATCGAGTTTTCCTCAACTTAATTTAAAAAATCACAAAACGCGTAATAGTACGGTCCAAAATGCAAAATGCAAAATACTTATAATTTCTATTTGACATAATTTGACACAAAATTATAACCTATTATTTGACAAGAGTTTGACAATATTATTTATAGGATTAATATATTATATATAAACCCATCCATAGTTAACTTAAAAGATATTAGAAACTTTTTTTAGTTAAATAAATGGATTGGTATGGACGTCATCTGCTTTTTTTCTGTCATCGTCTGTCGAAATCTTACCTGTCAAAAAAAAGAGTATAGTAACTGTTTATATATTTATAATTAATTTATTTTTGTTTCCAAAAAATTTTGATTAAAAGAAAGCACATTAAAGTGGACAAATGCTGTGCTGGTCAAGTTTAATCACGTGACTAAAAGTTTATTTAGTATGAACTGTAGAATAACAGTGTGGAGGCCAAGAGAATGTAGAATGTTTAGCATGGGGTTTAATCACCGCTAGTGTTTACACAAGAGTCTTGAAAAAGTCTTGCAAGACCAAGACTTTTGCAAGAAATTCAAGACAAGACTTTCAAAATTTCTTGTCTTGAATTTCAAGACAAGACAAGACTTTAATATCCCAGAAATTTCAAGAGACTTGCAATATTTCTTTAATTTAAGATTTCTTGAAAGTTAGAAATGATACATTTTTTTAAGTGATAATTAGGTCTTTGCGCAAGTTATGCCGGGTTTATACAACATTTACATAGTCGTAATCACAATCATAGTCATAATCATAAAAGTTAAACTATCCACTTCTTATAAACCTGTTGACATCTACCATGAACTTAGCCTTTAATCATGTTACCCAACTTCACTGATATAAAAATTATGATTATGAAAATGTTCTATAAACGCACATTAAAATTGCGTTGTGATTATGACTATGATTATAACTGTGATTATGATTACGACGTATGCAAATGTTGTATAAACCCGGCATTAATATTGACCAGTGTTCATTTTTTTTCTACCATAGCCAGTGTTTTAGAGTTGAGAATGAAGTAAAATAACCTTATACTTATTCTTATTCAGCTTAACCTTACTTATTCTTCAGCTTTGATTTGGCAATGGCTCGTGTTTCGTCAAACGGAGGAGTTGACGTAGTTCGTTTTCGGTCCGTTAAGATTTTTTTTGCTAAAATTAGCATCGTTGTTGTTCATTTTTCCCTATTACATTTTGTATACGACGCTTTCTATGAAATAAAATATATAAATATTATTACATTTTTGTTAGAATGCCAAATTTTTCAAGGCAAGAAATTTCAAGAGTCTTGCAAGACAAGACAAGACTTTGCCATTCAAAAAATCTGCAAGACAAGACTTTGAAAATTTCTTGTCTTGAATTTCAAGACAAGACAAGAAACTGATTTTCAAGACAAGAATTCAAATTCACAATGCAACACTAATCACCGCGACCTTACATATGTATATCTATTGCGTGTTCCTCTTTCTTCAGTTATAACGGGTTATAACTCATCATACAGTCTCAGGGCTTTAACAAAAGCCTGTATCTCCATAGAGGCCAGCTCTCCATTCTCGACATCAGCCGTTCCAAAGTTCATGGTACGAACGATCGTCGTCTCGGCGCACTCAGTGATAAGGTGTTATGGCGTTTCCCTATTTTCCCCACAGAATCTGAATTCGCCGTTGTTTCTCAGCTTCAGCCTACTGATGTGTTAGTTGAGGAGTCAGTGTCCTGTTAGAAACCCCGATTGTTTTTACTTAAGTCAAGGAAAATCTTAGATTTTTTTTTCGGTCGTAAGCTCTGAGGAACTTTTTCAAGTGTCTTAGACCGTTAGAGGGCTCCCATTCCAGGTGAACGATGGTTAAATACAGCAAAAAACAAGAGACCTATATCCAGGAGCGGATGATTGCGGATTGAGGAAGAGACATATTATAAAAAATACCCCAAAAATTGTTTCCATTATTAAGACACGCGTCAGGAAACGGTGCGTCAAACGGGTTACAAGAAAAGATCGGAGCAGCATCATCCGCAGCGTCGCACCCCTTGCCACCTGTAGTGTAAGAACGAGCCAAGGGGTGGCCACCCTTCCACCCTCATTCTCACTCGGTCTGCGCACGCCTACTACGCCGGGGGGCAATGGGGCTGCGATAGCGCGCGTTAGAGGGGGTCGATGTGTCCTCCTCGCAGTCAGTTCTTAACGCGCAATGCAACAGACAGCCGGTATATAACTGCAGACCGCGAGTCTGCGATCGCTCAGTTCCGCTCGCTCCACTCTTTAATAAAGCCGTTTGAGAGTCGACGCCGAACTTGAATTATTTGTGTCCTTTATTCAGCAGTCAAGTGTTACGATGCGTGTTATTACATACAACTGTTATGACTCTTGGTGCAGTTTCGGCCGACAGCAATAAGTCTGCCCGAATGCGGAAGTGTCCAAAAGCTTTTAAAATGGACTACGGCAGCTTGTTGTGCTGCACCGCGGCTTTTGTGCTGTACTGCAACACTCTCACGTCGGAGTTTGTCTATGACGACCGGTGAGTTTATGATGCTCAATGTGGTCGAAATATGCACGCGCCCCTACCACCCATCCTTTTTTCCTTCACATCTTTTCTTCTCCCAAAAAGTCTGAGAATTTAAAAAAAATAACATTACTAATTGATGTAAATAGGACATCAATCAATATTTTTAAATTTAGTTAATGCTGGTCAGTTTTATGTATGCACGTCTATATACCGTGTAACGTAAGGTTCTGAAGACTGTCAATAAAACAAATTGCTGCAGGAAATACTAGCTTTTTTTTTATTTTCCACGCTGATGGTTGTAGGGGTGGTTTATAAAAGTTCTAACAAAATTCTAAAATAAACTATAATTAATAGGGAACCCAGTTAAGGGTTGTAAATCAATTTCTTACCTAACACCAGGTTTATACGTCAAAATAATAAGAATCTAATATATTTGATAATAAATCCAAAACCAAAGGCTGTTAGCACTTGTAGCGTTATAAGTAAAATGGCGATCACCCGAATTCCATTATTGCAAAAAAGCGAAATTTATAAATTGAAACTACCAGGGGCCATCTATATATTAGTTTATAAGAAACCTAATGTTAAGATCCAGAAACCTGTTTTTACTATTATATTAAATTAATGCATTATATCTAATATTTCCCGCATATTTTATTAATTATGCTACATCTGCCTCCCTGCGAACTGGAAGTCGTTGTTAACAACACTGCAAGCTCGCATAAAGCTTATTCGATGAAAGTTAGGGCGGTAGAAAATGATATGCCTTCAAATGAGAAACGTGAAAAGTACCTCGTTCCACGTTTTTGTCATCCATAAGAACATACGTATCAAAACTTACTTTCTTTTTTATCCTAAATGGACCTTCAAATAGCAATAAAAACTTTTTAGTTTCCGCGCTTAACGCTGAAGAAATCGTATTGGCTCTTAACAAGACCAAATCGTTGATATTAAATGTAGGATATGGTCGATGAGGGTGATTTATCTTCCTTCTAGCAGCTCGACTTATAAGAGTTTCTTTGGCTAATAAAAGTCTTTGATTTTTATCAGACACTTTACCCACATTAGGAGTATGTACCAAAGTAGCTGGCAAATAATTTGGAGTCGTAATATTTCGATGAAGCTCGTTGGGAGAAAACCCTGTTGATTCGTGTACTACGGAGTTCATTAGTTCCGAAAAATTTTGTATTTCATACGCCCAGCGCGTATGATGTCCCGCACAGTAGACACGACAAAGACGGCCGAGTTCTCTCATAACTCTCTCGGATGCATTTGCTTGCGGATGACGAACAGAACTAAAAATAACTTTGATGCTTAGGGCTTCAAGAGTTTCCCGCCACCGTTTAGCGGTAAACTGCGACCCGTGATCTGATAAGATTCGTACAGGGCGCCCGTTCTTGGGAAAATAGTCTAGAATTAATTTATTAAGAACTGCACGACAAGTAGCCTTTTTAAGTGAATAAAGAGCAACGTATTTCGTAAATACATCCAACACTACGAGAATATACGATACACCTCCACGACTTTTAGGTAATGGCCCATACAAATCTAACGCGACGAGATCTCCCTTTCCTTCAGGAATGACAGGATTAAGCGGTGGCTTTGGCATGATGGACGATTTTGATTTTTGACAAGAGTCGCAACAACGTAGTACCTGCTTTATAGTAGAATGCATGTTTGGCCACCAAACCTCGTGTCTCAGTGCCGACCAAGTCTTGTACACTCCATAATGACCCAACATGCTATGAAAAAGCTTCAACAAATTCCCGCTGTAAATGTTTAGGGACACATACTAAGCATGGTTCGTCCGCTGCTTGACGCTTATATAACGTATCTTCATGGATCAGAAAACGTTTCTGCAATTCCGAATCTACTTCTAACTGTGAAATAATATCCGCTAATTTTTTATCCTCGCGTTGCAGCTTAGAAAAAAGACTTTAGTTTGCGCTGAAAATCAAGAGGTAACTTGATAGTAGATAATATTTTAAAACATCTCGAGTCAGATGACTCCGGGATAGTAAAGGCATCGCGAGACAACGCGTCGGCAATTATATTATTCTTTCCTGGAAGAAACTCGACGGAAAAATCATATTCTTGCAGCGCAAGTGCCCATCTAGAAATTCGTGGCGATAGAAGACGACAAGATTTTATATAAGTCAGAACTCTATTGTCGGTATGTATCGTAAAGTGACGACCTAAAAGATAAATGCGCCATCGAGTAAGAGCAAAAATACAGGCTAGTACTTCTTTTTCATTACTATGATAACGAGTCTCTCTCGGCAATAATAAACGACTAGCCCACGCAACCGTGCGTTGTTGATTTTCAACAATTTGAAAAAGATGCGCGCCCAGTCCGTATTCGCTAGCATCAACACTAACATGCCAGTCGGATGATAAGTTTGGGTGATACAGAATTGTAGCTTGAGATAATTCATGCTTTATTTTGTTAAACGCTTGTTCTTGTTCGTCTTTCCACTCCCATTTTATCTTTTTTCTTAAAAGTCTCGACAAAGGTTCACAAAAACCAAAAAAGATTGGCAAAACGATCTATCAAAATTGCACATCCCTAAAAATCTCTGTAACTGCTTAATATTTTTAGGACGCGGATAGCTGGTTATTGCCGCTATTCGCGTTGGATCCGGTTTAATTCCTTCGCTATTTAAAATATATCCCAGAAAGGGCAATTCCGTACAAAAAAATGCACATTTTTTAAGCTTCAGCGTTAATCCTACTTCATTTAACCGGTCAAAAACAAGTTTTAAATGGCTAATATGTTCATTAAATGAATTAGATATTATCAAAATGTCATCAATATAGGCAATTAAAAATGAATCGAACTCCGGTCCAAATACTCGACTAATCATACGCACAAACGAAGATGACGCAGTAGAGAGACCGAAGGGAAGAACGCGAAAAACGTAGGTTTTAGAGTCAATCATAAAACCGGTATATTTCCTTGACTCCGGTGCGAGTGGTATTTGCCAGTAGCCGTTCGTCGCATCTAAACGCGAAAAATATTTACGATTCGTAGTTCCATCAAAATTAAGTGTATTCAAAATTTGCTCTATCGGTCGCGGCGCCTCATGATCCCTCTCCATTTGACTATTCAAGCGTCGCGCATCTAGACACAGTCGTATCGTACCATCTCTTTTTATTACTGCAGCTACGGGGGAGATATACGAAGTAGCGGCCCGTTCGATAATACCGAGACGCTCCATTTCTTTAACCGTTTCATTTACCGACACTCTATATGCAACTGGTATAGGGTATGGTTTAATAAAAAAGGGATTTTTATCAATCATTCGAATTTCATGTACGTAATTTTTTACACAACCTGGCACATTAGAAAAAACAAACTTATTTTTGTCTAATAAATTTTGAAAAATTTCTTGCTCAGTTTGACTTAAAATAAAATGCTTGATAGTGTTATTTGAATCAGTATCTTTTTCCACCGAAAGAGTAGCACAAGCTAATACTTCATATTTGGGTATACACCTTAAGTTAATTTTTTCATACCCCTCGTATTCATGAAAATATTTTTTCTCAGGCAGTTTAACAATGTTACCATTCAACATACAAGCTAAAAAATTATTCTTTAAATCAATTGTAACTTGATATATTCTTAAGAAATCTATACCTAAAATAATAGGATATATGAGATCGTTAACCAGAAAAAATTCTTGTTTAAACAGATTGCCATTACAAGAAAATATTATAAGAGATTGTAATTGAATTTTTTTCTGTTTACTTTTAAATGCTCCTGTTATTCTTACACCTGTGCATGGAAAACATGGTATATCTGCTTTTAAATTCTCGGGAAAACGATTCCATACATCTTCCGAAATAGCTGAGATTTCACTACCTGTATCAACGAGAGCAGGAAAGGAAAATCCATATAAACTTAATTCTAAAATAGGCGAACGATTTGATACACTGAGATGATCGAAATTACAATTTCCATCGTCCAACAAATCATCCACCGGATAATTTTCTAAATGAATGGCTCTACTTTTGCTATCTACAGGCGAGCCAGATTGCGATAGCATATTTAGTTTTCCGGATTTTCTCCGTCTAAGATTGTATCAGGTGTTTGAATATTTGATACATTTTTTGTCGCGTTTTTATATGTATAATTCGTATGATTTACTATTTTTTTATTATACGGGGTCTGACTATTTGTCGATGAACTTTCATCAGGAGAAAATCTGCAAAATTTTTTAGTTGCACCAAAATAATATTCTGCTTGGCGCAAGCGTTCCAATACACCTTGAAAAGTTGTAGTTCCTACCAAGGTGCAAGATACACTAGGAGGAAAGTGTCGAGCAATTATCTGAATAAGTTGTCTTTCGGTGTACGGGGGCTCCAAATGTTTTGCCATAGCTACATATTTATTAAAATGATCTGTAAAACTTAAGCCGCTATTTTCTCTATATACATTAGAGTCTAACTTTATGCGAACTTCCAGCTGTTGACTGTGATTCCAAAATTGTGATAAAAAATGATGTTTAAAATCATTAAAATTTACAAATGTTGATAGAAATGCATCTGCCCAAGTTCTAGCATTATTTTTAAAATATAAATGACCCATTCCATTCAAAATAAATTGATCTACTGGAATTCCTTCGCATCTATAAATAGATTCAATTTGTTTTAAAAATCAACCGGATGTAAATTACTTCTATCATCAAATATAGGAAAATCAGACTTTGGTTTTACAATATTGCTATTTTGAAAATTATTATTACTGTTATTTAAATTTAACTGTTGGACTACATTTGTTATTATGTGGCTTAAATCTTCGGCTCTACAAAACATAGTTCGTTGTTCAGGAGCTGCCATATTGACTAAAAGGTGGGGGCGGATGGTTTGTGGTGCCTCCCTGACAAATTCCCCATGCTGGTACACCGCTAAGTGGTGCAGAAAACGAAAAAGTTGGATGTATCCTACCTTGATGTAAAGATGGAGTTGTAGGTACTGGATTGGAAGTTGCTCTCTCCCTGCTGTCCTCCGAT